AAATATTTTAGATGTCAACCTCATTTCGCAAAAAGCAATATTACCAGAAAATCTGAGGTATATCAAAAACATGCATAAGCTTAGCAAAAGATCTAAACAATAATTGTATAACATATCCATTATAACATGTTGATACCATAAAACACCAGAAAAATAAAATGTACTAAAGCAAAGATATCTGAAAAGCAAAAGATACCAATTACCATGTTAGCAAGGTTGGTAATACTTTTCTATTTAGAATATAACCCATTCTACTACTTAAAGCAAACTTCATGACATCAGTTACGGTAAGGTTCATTTTATCAGTCCTTGCAGTATCTGAATGTATGAGGCGGTGGAGGACAGATGAAATATAGACATTGCATGACTATAACAACTCTGTCCCATTTTTTTCAGACATTTACTTCTGAACAAAAATAATTTATAAGTCCTCTTGAAAGATTTCTTATTCTGTAAATAAAATTGCAGTAATGAATTCAACTTTTTCATCGTTACAAAACATCAATTAAATTTACAGATGTGGAGGTAGAAGCCAATGAAAATAAATTAAATGTTGCAGTTACAAAATTGCATTCTATAAAAGGCGAAAATAAAGCATTAAATGGTAGATCATATAAAGAATAGAAATTGCCGTGGATACATGAATAGAGAAGTGAATCAATTCCAAATATAGCATACGTGGCATTGATGCATATGTCTGAGGGATCTAACGTAAAATTATGATTTATGACAATTTTGAAGTAACAAAAATTTAGAAAATTATTTCTAAAAAAAAGATCTAAGAAGACAAAACACCGACATCACATATTCAAGATAAAATAAGTAAAAACTAAAAAAATAAACTGCCCGTATATAGAAAATCACTTCTTCATATTCCCGTCCAAAATATCCAAGAAAAAGCATTTGTTCTCACATTTAAATGAATGGACAAAAAAAGAAGCGTGCAACATTACTACTTAGCATATTCTTGTCTCGATTTTATCTGCTGCAGAAGTTCAGTCACTTTATGTAAACTGATTGTTGGACACCATTTTCTGCTCGGAATACTTCCCTGCAGCTGCACATGCAAAGTATCCAATATCTATAAAATGGTGTTTCCGACAAATTCAATTGCTTCATCATTCCAGATTTGAAATGAAAATTTCAAATATTTTTTAGTATGAACTATCACTGACTACATAATCGCTGTTCTTATGAAAACTGGTTTCGAACAATTCGTCTACAATATTCCATAAAGTAGCTAAATTCTTGGCTTTTACTATTCTTATCTATATTTCTTATCGTAAAATTCTTATACTTTTATACTTTTAGTTTCTGTGTTCTCTTTAGAATTTTTATGAAAATGTTTGGATGTGTTTCAAAAACTAAAGAAAAAGGACGATTAAATTGGGACTCAAAAAAAAATATTAAGTAAAAGAATTGATAGATTTATTAATAAGTAGAGGCAGATAATCAGTTTCATTGGGAAAACCGGGAAAAGCCTCTTTCCATGCTGTACAAAATGTCCTTCAAGAACTTCTTTGCAACATATAATTAAAAGGTTCAAAGAGATTAAGAGATTTTGACAGTTCGAGAGTGAAATGAGTTTCAGTATTTTACGAGTAAATTTTACTGTTCTGAATGTCTCAGACAAATATGCCCCTCTTGAAAGTGGACGAATGAATTTGAAAAAAGAGAAAAAAACAACGCACTCGGACTACATCTTCTTCATTCAATTTGTTATTACATTTCCTTAAAGCGTCCGTGATCGTGTCCAATGTTGTGTTAGGTAAATTCGGTAACTCACATATCACTTTTGCTAGGCATTCCAACGGAACCAACGAAATTTCGCAGCAACTGACTGCAAAATTAGCAGTTAGGAAATTAAATACTATAATTTTAAAAAAGTACAGAAAATATTTCCATGAAGTATCAAAAAGAAAAAAACTGCATATGCTACAGAATCTTACGAGGACTTCTCCTATACTTTTTGGGTCAATCTTTAGGTTTGATAAAACCAAAATGATGTATTATGAAAAGATGGTATCATGCTTGCCATGTTCTACCTAACCTCCCAGAAACTTTATACCAAACATCCTCCAACAAAATTCAGATACTCATTCTGTGAGTCTTTCTTCTGAACAGATCTGGGATTTTAAAATTATTAATGTAGCAATACTGAAACCAGTGATCACATATATATCTGGAAATTAATTCTATTATCTCCCATATTCTAAAAACAATCTGGAATACATTTCAAAAAATACCTGCAAGACGAAGAAGTACTTCGCCAAGGTTTTTCGTGTAATCTAAAGGTAATGTAAGCAATCCTCCAAAATCTATGTATATACAAAGAAATTGGAATGTTGATATTATCACTTTCTTGAAATCATCTGAGTTTTCTTCACAGTTGTGATAATACTCGCATGTGTAAATTGCAGATTCTCGTAGTGTTCCACACAATATTGTTGCCCTGAAAATTTTTTCCTGCAAAACTGGTCTGCTGCGCATCCTTTGCAAGAAAAACTGTTTACAAGATATGCCTCGAAATGAAAAAATGAAAGTCTCGAAATTATACAATTAGGTTGATAAGTGATAAATACTGACTCAACTATTACTGCTAATCATATATGCCCATGGACGTTAACATCCATATCTTAACTCGGGACCTAAGGATCTATGCAAAATTACATGTCAACAATAATAAACAATCAATGAAAAACTTACTTATCATCCGGTAAGATGTTGGCGTATTCACCGTAACGCGCAAAGTGGCAGTGAAGGCGCCCATGAACGAATGCTTCTTTAATAGATGTCTGCAACCGAGTTACAGATTTATGTATTAAGTGAGGTACTTTATCAGTGAATCCTGAGCTGGATACTTTACCTATTAAGGAAATCTTCACTTTATCATGAAACATACTGCAATAAGGCGTAAATTGAGACCTTGAATCCCAGGGAATATTATTTCTTACCAAAGAGTGAGAGAAATTGTCTAAGGATAAGGATCTATGATTTAACAACTTATTGTAATATGGAGACTTATAAATCAACAATTCTGAGAACTGCCAGGATAGACATGAGTTCAAAGAGAAAAAAATTCAACTACTTGATTGTGGAAGACTTCTTGCAATCGTATAGAAGACATGGAAGATAGCAATAACAAAAAGTCCGGGTCACTTTCAAACCAGTGGCTACCAATCAGGAAAACCAATTCATCTGATAACTCAAATAATATTGGTAAATACTGACCAAGTGCCTCCTTCGATGTACTTGGTGTAGCCAGTGCTGCAAAATTAAGATTAATGTGACATTAGTAATAATCAGTGATAGCCGAACTTTCCAAGACAAAAATTTCTATTATAAAAGCAAATGAGGGTCATTGAAAAGACATACCGATAGCTGGAGTCTGTAGCAGACGCCTAATAATGATACGAAAATTAATTGACCACTCCTTCTGTATCAATTTTTTGCCAGCAAATAATTCAGCCTTCCCTTCAATAACAGATAACAGTTCAGCGCTAACTCGTAATAAATCTAGCGAAGGCAACTGAAAATCAAATGTCGATAATCATTTGTATATGAGAAAATGACTGCTAAACAAATCATTGAGTCAAAACCACTGGATTCACCTTCAAAACTAAGTATAATGCCATGATTCCGACGGCAGTGCTCTCAAAGGACTACTGCTAATACCGAAACGCATACAATGGACAGTACTTCTATCCACTAAAGATTTATAATTACGAGTAAATTTATTTTTTAAATTGATAATGTATAAACCAATAATAATCCACTTCATTTTCTTTCTTCAGACATATGCTAGTGACATCCATGACTTCTTCAATCTGATTCATGTCCAATTCCTTAACAAGTCTTAATAATTCCTTGTATGCGAAAAGATGAATAGCCAATTGGTCCCCATTCCATGTTCTGAAAAAATTTTTTCAATAAGATTTCTCTAGAAAATTTCCTTTCGTTTCATTCTCATTACATTTTAATAACAAATAAAATCAGTGGACCATGTTTCAGTAGATTTTTCATAAAAATCTTCATTGTTGACAATAAGTAAGCTATGAAACCACCTTTAAATCCCCGCCAAACATATATTTAATCACAAAACATACTTCTGACTAACGATTAAATTGTACACCGCAGGCATCTCGGTTACAATTACCAAGTAATTGAAAAGATAAAGTCTGAAAAAAAAATATGATTGTAACAATAAGCCATAAACACTTTATACATTGAAATCTAGAAAGGATGAGAAAGGTACACTGAAATTGTACCTCAAGCATATCCCTGTTGATTAGAAAGAAAAAAAAAACTAAGTGCATTTGAGAAAACAACATCCGTAATATATGACACAAGTTGGCGTAATTTGCATATTCGAAACTCTCCCCTCCTTTTCCACCTCCCCTACCCCTTCCCAAATAAAAATTAACAAATGACATGAAAAAGTGAAACCCTCGTGCCGTTTGCAACTCTATTTCTCAAACCGGCGCGCTATGAAAAAATGATAGTCCTGCAGAAATTAAACTGAGAAATGAAATGAATTTGGTTTAAAACTTTCTTTTATTCAGTACATTCCGAAAAATAAACAGCTTTGTTAGACTTGGAAAAAGAAGTTGTTTCTCTTAAATTTCTCTCTTTTTTTCTTTTTTTTTTGCTATTACTAAAATAAGATTGGTGCTGTTATGAAGAAATTTTGTATTCAACAAAGTAACAATAAGAGGAAAATAAGTGAAGTTTATAATTATATTAGAAATAAATAAGTTTAATGAATTATCCTTTTTGTTTTTTTAAACGAATTTCAAAACAGTTTACAATGATAAAGATAACACAATGTCTAATTTAATTATTAAAATTCATATGAACTCATTAATGTTCGTTAATTTACAATCATTAGTTAACTTTAAAAATTCAATAAGAATTTCCAGTAACTAAAAAATGAAATAATACAAAAATTGATATTAAAGGTAGTGTCCAATGTTTTATTAAAAAGTTCTTCCTTTCTATTAAAAAAAAAAAAAAAAANAAAAAAAAAAACTAAATAAAAAATCACGTAATTATGCTAGTGGAAATTATTGTTGTCAAATTGTTCTAACATATTTGATATGATGAACAATTTGCTAATTTGAATATTAATTTTCTTAATTGATTTTTTGATTAATAAAATTTGATATTGAGATATGTTAAGAAATTAATAGTTTTATGTTAGCATTTTAATTTCATTTATTTGATCAAACTCAATGAGATTAACAAAATCTAAAACTTCATTAATATTGTCCACATTCCAAATTCTCACACCTTTTTTGTGATCATAAACTTCTGCAATCGTTTGAATTTACAAAACTTCATACAAGGATGCAGAAACAAAATTTCACTTCGATTAGCATGTAATAATTTTACGAGTCAGGAAATCGATGAAAAGCACTTACAGACTCGATCTTTTGATAAGTAAATAGATAAACTAATTGGTTAATTAATTAATTAACATAAATAAATTAAATGAATATAAATTCGGTGCTCAAAATATTTCATCATTACAAGTAAGGAATTGCATTGTTTTCATGAAGTGTAATCAATTTTGAGATAAAATAAATTGAACGGTTATAAAAAAAAAAGCAATACATTTGTAAAATCGATTTCATAGCTTTCCAAACTGTAACCTTTCTTTGAGACTAATTATAAATTAAAATTATGCAAAAAGCAAAAATAAAAGACAAATAAAATATAAGAAAATAATTTTAAAAGAATAATAAAAGAACGAAAAAGATCGAAAAATTAGATTTTTGGTAATAATTTCATTTCAAATCTGAATAATTAATTCAATTCTGCATTTGAAAAAGCAAGAGAATAGTGATAAGGCCATTTCACAACTGTGATTACTTAATTTTGAAAGTTTTATTTGACATACTCAAACTGATTTCATAACTCAGTTAAAGCAACAAAACAAATAACTTTCAAAATGCAGAAATATTTACTTCTTTTTCCCTTTAAAAATTTTAAAGTTATTTATGACAATTTGCAGTTTTCTTATATGTTAATTTATTTGTTTTGTTAGTTTTTTCATCTTTTTTTGGCTGATACTTTTAATTTTTTCTAATTTAATTTTTTTTGCTGATATTTTTGTGTTGCATTTATTTTTTATGTGAGATTTTTTCCACTAAATTGATGTATTAAATTTCAATTTGTGATATGGATGTTTATTGCAAAAATTATCTTTTATGTTTCATTGAAGTTTTTATAATTCGAATTAGCCATATCATTTTATCATTATCCCACTCTGATAATGTCATGTTTGTAACTAAAAAATAAGTGTAGTACTAATTAAACCTTTTTTACAAGAGTAACTTTTCTTCTTGTAGATGTTCAAACTAGGCAAAAATTTTCACTTAAATAATTGAATCTAAATTATCCATAACAGAGGCTTGCAAAATGTTTTCAGAATTAAAAGGAGTTGTGGTGGATTTTTTCTGAATCGTGGAGTGTGGTCGACCAATAGCCAAATATCACCAGTGTTGTCGATCGGCTTCCTAAGATCCGTTGGGCTGCTTTGAATTGGATATGTTGTGTTG